CGTACAGTAATGGCAACTAAAAGGAGACAGGGCGTTTTGGGTTCTGCTTTGTATTCCCCCCGTTGTTAGGCTTTAGGCAGAGAGATGACTTTCCTTTGCCACTACGGGCCTGGCTACAACATACCCGAGCACTGTAAGAGCTTGTATCACAGAAACATACCATGGTGTGCCGCATGTATAGTATTTACTGCTTCATAGCCTACGGGCTCCGTAAGCATAATGGCATATAATAATAACCTGCACTGCATGAAGTTTTATTCACCCCCACTAATTGCACTTCCCCATATCATAGATTTTCCCCGCCTATTCTATACAAGACAGTACCTTATATCCCGTTTTCCCATCCTTACATCCATACCATGAACTACTTGCTCGCTCACCCACGCCCTACTAGTCCGCGGCACACAATCCCACGCCCGATTCGACATAATCACGGCAAACCCATTACAACAATCTGTCACCCTCAGGCATGCAGCCCAAGGACTAGCACCTTTCAGTCCCTCCCAGAAAGAGCGGCAACAGCAGCAGCTTCCATTCCTTCCGGTTTATCGGTGCTAGCTGACCCGCGAGGACCTACCGCACTTGGGTTTTACGGGCGTCACAACCCGGTGGATGGATGGGTGGGCGGGCCGGATGGGGATATCCCAGCCTGAAGGCCATTCGACGTGCACGATGCCAGTGCGAGGTGAAGGGGCAAGGGGGAGTTTTGCGAGAGTCTCGCCAATCTGGTCCATTTAGACTGTACAGTACCTCCACAGAGCACGGATGGCTCGCCCGGTTCTTGCAGAGTACAGTGCTGAGGTTCCACTGCGAAGGGGTCTTGGGCATGTATGGTAGGTACTATTACGCTCCTACGTGCTGCTATTTGCCGCGCTGTATGATGAAATATCTACCTTGCTTTGGGATTGGTAAGGGGGGAGTGGAGGGGCTAGAAGGGCCGAAATCATAATCCGTTCGATCCCCCAATGTTCCCGTATGGCATTCGTGATATCTCGTGCTATGCTGTCTCATATGGTAAGCCATAGGAGGTGCTCCTGACCTTTGGTGCAAGTACGGCAGTGCATACATCTATGTTTCAGCAAGGTGCCAGAGGGGGGGGGGAGCATGTCCCACTCTCAACATTGTATGCCGCTCCATGGAACGTGAAGCCTAGCGGTATGTCAAGTTGCCTTGTCCTTGACCGGAGAAGGGTTTCCTGTACTTCAGGCCTGCCCATCCTTGTGCATGCTTAACCTATACTACACAATCTTGACGTGGTCATTTCGGCACATCACTTCTCACTCTGCCGCCTTCTTACTTTTCACTCCGGGCTAGCAATCTTGCAACAGAATTTCTAATCATCGATACAGTTTGCCCCCCCCCCGGGACGGGTATGTTAGGTTCGCGATAAAAGAAAGTTTGAATATAAAAAGTTTGATTAAAGCAAAAAAAAAAACCCCCCCCCAAACCACCACGGAATCCATATCATGCAGAGATAGTGACCACAGTTCAGTAAATGAATGGGAAAAAAAAGGAAGACGAGGAAAAGAAAGCAGACCAGAAACCCGGGAAACGAGAAGAAAAGGGACGGAAGAAATAAATAAAAATAGAAAGACTCGCAAACAAGGATCCCAAAGGCGCAAACCCCCCCAGGCATTCCTCCCAACCACATTACTCACTTCCCCTCTGGTTCGTTTCTGCCGGAGGTCGATCTACGGCAACAGACAGAAACGAGCTTGTACGATCCTTCCGCCCTTCCCGTGTGCCGGGAGGCCGCATGGCTGGGACCGTAGACGAAAGAAAAAATGGAACATGAGATCCGAAGAAGAGAAATGGAAGGCAGGTATGAGGAACAAGGGATCAAATACAAAATAAAGTAATTAGTAAAAAAGAAATGGCAGGCCCATTGAGATAATTTGGCCCCCTTCTTGCGTGCATATCCCCGCGCGGTTTTGGGCTCATAGGTGGGCAGTCCGGTGCTAACCTTTGGGCTTAGAACATTCGGAACAATCCTCCCCGTCCACCGTCTTCTCACGCTTCACTGTCTGTACACCAAAGCACTGGTGGAAAGGATCGTTTCTCGCAAAGTGACAATGGGAAATTAGGCGGTGCTCAGTGTGGCCGCACGAGCTGTAAGTGATCCTCTCGAGGTTACACATCTGTAAATCCAAGTAAGCACGTGTCCTCATGATTTAATGGCAGTTGGCCGGGGAATCAAAAACCTCAATAGGTTCAGAGAGTATCAAAAGACCTTGCGGGGGTGCTTATTGGGCGGACAGAATAGGCGAGAGTACAAAGGCAAGTGGGTAGGCACGAGGTAACTACACTCTGCTCTGCTCGACACTCTCGTAAAGCTCAAAGACCTGAAGTCAATATGAGAGGGAGTTCAAGAGAGAAGGAATGGCAGCTCATGTGCACAGGTATGAGCAATTTATACCCATTTCTATCTCTCCCCCCATCTCCCATGCTCACTCACGCCCTCACAGATCCTCTAGATAAACTTTGCTAGAAAAGCAAGCAGAGTTAATAGCAAACATTGGCACGATTTTTCCCGGAAAAATACCATACCTCGATTGCAGATGTGGGGGGTAAACTTCAGTTATAGTGAATAATTTGTAAAAAAAAATAAAAAACAAACTACCCAGCATTGTGCCAGCCCAAGCAATACACAAGACTTCTGAAGAAGAAGAAAAGAGAGGTGCAGGAAGGGCGACGGTGGGGGGGCGGGTTACTGAACTCCGTATGAAGAAACGGAGATATCAAAGTCTCCAATCCGCTGAGACTAGTGCGG